TTTGCTGCAGCAGGGGCCAGACTTACTGGAGGTCTGTCTTTTTTTGCTCACTTAATATGTTGCACTAGTTTGTGGCTTCAATTCATAATGGAATGAAGCCTACAAAATTACAACCAGTACTCTGCAGCCTCTTCTGCAAACAAATGTTCACTGGGCACCTAAGGGCTACATCATCTTCTCACTTTCCCTTTAAAAAACCCCAAAAACCAACAGAAATTTCAGATGTAATTAGTCCTTACAGTATAATTACTATCTTGGTAGCAAGAAGACAATTAAACTGAGTCCCCTGATGGAGGTGAAAGGTGCTGGCAATTCCATGTGTCACTCAGCTTTCCCTTTTGTAAAACTGCTTATGTTCAGTGCCTTTCTTTCTGTATTATTGTGTATTTATATCTTCTGTGGGAGACTCCACTTAAGCAAAAAGAAATCTAGGTTCTTTAATAGTCATAATGCTTCTCTTGTAATGCACCACTAGGAAAAAAAGAGAAACAAATTATTCACATTTATTTAGTGATGCTGAAAGGTGCAAGAATATCTCACTGAAATATTTAGGCCCCATAGCTACTACCTCAAAGGTAGATGACAAAACTCAGTGACTTCAATGATGTGCAGTTAAGTCTATAACCTTACAAATCTAGACAGCCTTATTAATTTCATTCCAACTCAGGGAGAATGAAAAGACATCATCTTCTTAGACAAATACTGGAAAAAGGGTACTAGTAGGTATGTTGCAGTCACTGGCAAGGTGTCAATGGCTGCCTGGTTCAGCCCTCTCCCACCCCTGTGCATAGATATGTGCCACAAGAAAGTCACTTGAGAGCAGTCCATCTTCAAGGAACTGGACTTTGTACTCTGCAGAATTTATTACTGTGCACAGTTTCTTGAAAGAACTCATTCTGGACTGAAAACTTTGATGTCACTGCTTCAGGTGGCTTGATTTGGTCTGGAAGATGTTAGAAGGGTGATTTCTAAATCAAATATTTATGATGGGATGTCAAGTTCAATTTCAGCAAGATAGCCAGTAAATGGATGGGCAGGATCCTTGTAGCTAGTGGAAATTTGTTCAGGTTCGGTGACATGGATATCACATCATTCACATTCATTGCAAATACTTCATCTTCAAGACTGATGTAATTAAAATATATAGATCAATGTCAACTTGCAGTTTGATTCCACAATGATGTAATGAGGTTCATATTGCCTGGGGTGGCTACTCCTAAATCATCCTTAAAGATAAGAACAAGTTTATGGAAGGATTAAAAGCAACTTAACATTAGCTTTTAAACAAGCAAGCTACACTTGTTTAAATGACAGCAAGTCTGAAGAAAGAACCTATTTTTTTAAATAGGATAAAAGAATGATTAGCACCTTTTTATAGATGGAAGCTGAACAGACTGGATTAAGTTAAACTGATGAAAGAATATCTGTGTAAAGAAGCTGCCTCATTGTAACAAGTAAACTTGTTATTGGTGTATTTTAAGCTTAATATAGGCTTCTTATATCAACCTAAGTACACACAGAGTGCAGAGTGCTGTCTTTTCTCAATCATTTTTAAACTGTGCACATACAGTTTAACATTGCACGTAGGCGAGCTTGGATTAGAGGAAAGCATTTATCACGTAGTACATTCAACTCCTTCTCCACTCCTATGATTCCCTCTAGTGGTCAATTAATTGCTAAATGTTTCTTAGTACTGCAAATTACTTGTACCTCTCCTGCATTAAAACGGTGTCTGGCTCCATTCTGTTTGAATTCAAAAGACCTCATTTTTTATTCCTAGGCTGCATATGAGAAGGACAATGCAATGAACCTTTGAAATGTGCAGCTGCTGCACCTGTGGGCAGCTTTATTTTCCCCTCTGGGAGCAGACAGACTGTGCCCACCATGCAGAGCCCAAGGCCATCTCTGCTGGCAGTGCAGACCAGGAGGTGATGGCCCTGTTGCAGCAGTGGGCAGGACCCTTTCCCCCACTCTTGCCCCTGGGCTGTCTGAGAATGCCCACTGCAAGCCTGGCAGCGGGAGCACTTCTCAGGCTGTTTTGAACAGTGTAACAGTTTGTGACTTGTCATATTCATGCAAGTAAATACTTGAGGTTCACCTACCTCAATGGAAAACTGAGTAACGTTTGTTTTTTTTTTTTTTTAGCAAGATTACAGGCAACTTGTAATTTGGAGATTTCATACAGAGTGGCAGACCTTTCCCCAAAATTCCCATCTTCACCTTGCTGTGCAGAGAGACACAACTGCCATTTTATATCAGTTCAAGCTGATTCAAGTCAGTGCTGATCCAATGCTGTCTTCATTTTCTAATCTTGGCTGTGCACCTCTATTTCTTCCTTGGGCTAGCACCAAGAGTTACCTGACTGCTGAGGGAGATGGCCAACTGGGAGTCCAGGGAAAAGACAAAAACTGAAAAGCTCCGGGCGTTGGTGACCTAGCTAAAGTCACATGGGCCTTGTGTTGGAAAGTAATGGCTATGGAGTGCCAAGACCTCTCCTTTTGGTGCTCTCACTTGTGTGCTTGTGGTTTGATGTTTATGTTTGTATATTGCAAAGGGCATGGGGCAAAGGCAAAGTCTGCACTCATGGGCACAGATAGTTACAAAACGTGTTTTAGCCAGCGCTCTTGTGATTCTTTTTCCCATCCCCAGAGATGGGAAACTCAGGAATGCACATGGAGAAAGCTGGGAATGGCAGCACCATGAGAGGAGCATTAGCATACAACCACAACCAAAATCCTCTCTCAATTGTGATTGTCAAGAGACAGTTTGGGAAACTCAAATTTGTCCTCCCTCATACAGAGAACATCTCTAGTACACAGAAAAGTATCAATTTTTCAAGAGCACCCTGTGGAATTAAAACGATGACTGATACACATGCTTGGCTATCATATATATATATGTATAAGCAATGCTATCAAAAGGCAGTGGGAGAAATTACTAATTTAGGTGTCTTCCTGTAACATAAATTAGCAAAATACTTTTATTAGGAATATTTGAGCAGGACCCACTGCTGCCATCTACTTGTACCACACAGTATCTCTCAAATCACCAAGTTTCTTTTTAGTTTTGATAATGTTATGCTAGTTTCACTTCTAGTTCCCAGTTCTTTGTCTTAGCCTGCATTATTGACTGATATGAAAACTTCCCAGTTTTGGAGAACAAATGTACAGTGATGAATCACTCTGGGTGGCATAGAGGTGCAGCTTTAAAAAAGAAAGGAAAAGAGAAGTGGCTATTTCTGTCCAGTTCTGCATATCTTGTTTTCTCATTCTACTAATTGGATGTTAATGTTTAAAAAGGAGCAAGAGTTCATGTTTGGAATCTCTGCTCTCAGATGCATGCTCCTTCATTTAGAGAAATTATGTTAGTCCATTTGAAACAAAAGCTACTCAAAGTTCTGCCACATGGTACAAGCTAGTTGAGAGCTGTGAAAGAGATTGCTGAGGCACTGATGTACACATATGGTCAACATAAGTGTGTCAGCCTTCAGGATGCTCTTCCTTCCCCTGACTGCCACAAACAATGTTTTTAATTTCTAGATTTCTGTCTGTGCGTGTGGGAGGATGTCATAGCTGTCCTGATTCCCGCTTTTTAAAGCTCAGCACTCAATAAAGCCACATCTTCTGTTAAACAGAAATAATTAAAAATAGTTACTTCAAAAATTGTAGAGATTTCATGCATTAAGAACATCTGTGTTATAATTACTTCCATCTGATTGTATGCTTTTCTGGTTTTCATCATAAATTTAGCCACTGGATTTTCTGAAGGTCCATTTAAGAAAACACTGGTTAAAAAAGGTCAAAAGGGCTGTTGTGGTTTTACACCACCTGGCAACCAAGCACCATGCAACCATTCACTCGCTCCCTCCTTCTCTCCCTCTGGGAGAGAATCAAAAAAATGGAAACACACATAGGTTGAAAAGTAAAGAGCAAAGGCCACAAAACTTGTGGGTTGAGGTAAAAGACCATTTAATACATAAATCAGAAGTTGTGCATGCAAGTAAAGCAAAACAGGGATTAAGTCACTGCTTCCCATGAGCCCACTAGGAGTGTTCAGCCATCTCCAGGACATGAGTTACTTGGGAATGCAAATGCCATTATCTGCAACTCCAAACATCCCCCTTTATTCCCTTCCCCCCAGCTTTATATGCTGATCATGATGCCACATGGCCTGGAATATCCCTTTGGTAGTGGAGATCCGCTGTCCTGGCTGTGTCCCTTCCCAGCACCACCACTCCCTTCACACGTGGGCTACTATGAGAGTATGAGAAGCAAAAAAAGCCTTGGCTCTGTGCAAGCACTGCTCAGCAGTAACAAAAACATCTCTATATTATCAACCCTGCTTTCAGCACTGCCCCCAAGCACAGTCCCATACAAGTCACAGTGGAGAGAGTTCACTCCACCTCAGCCAAAACCAGCACAGCAGGGCTGAGGCACCACCCCAGAGGAAAACCTGCAGGTGCCCGGCAGATATGGCCTGCACCATCTCAGGCAGAATTTCTCAATTTGAGAGGTCACAGAAGTCCAGGCCTCGACACCTACTTTTCTGAGGCACGTCCCAGAGGGGGCTCGGGGCAGGGTGACAGCACTGGCTGCCCTGGCAGGAGCCATGTCCGGAGCCCCAGGGGTGGCTGCGGTCGCTCCCGGTGCCGTGTTTCTCCAGGCGGCTGGCACCCGGTGGAGCGGGATAAGCGACTGCAGCGGGCAGTCGGGGGCTTTGGGGCCGAATGCAGAGCACAGCCGCAGGGCCAGGAGGAGACGAGCCCCGCCGGGGCAGGGTCAGGGAGCCCGGGCGCTCCCCAGCACGAGAGCAAAGGCAGAGCCGGGCTGTATAGAAGGGTCACCCCCAGACACAGGCGGGGGCTGGCCCCGAGGCGCTCAGCGGCCCCTCGGAGCGGGGCTGGCCACCGAGGGAGGGGCGGGGGCAGCCCGGGGCCGGCCCCCGGCCGGGGCTGCCGTGCGGCGGCAGCGGAACGCGGCGGCGGGCGCGGGTTGCGGCGGGCCGGTTTGAGGCGGGCACCGCGCGGCGCCGGCATGAAGGAGGTACCGCCGGGCCCGGGGATGGAGAGCGACATCTTGGACGCGCTGGAGGCCTTGGGGTAACCGGGGAGCAGCGGCGGCTCCCCTCTGCGAGGGGCGAGGGGCCGCGGGCAGCCGCAGCCGCGGGCGAGAGGCCGCGCCGGAGGCGGGAGCGACCGGGAGCGCGGCATCGGCGGAGGAACGGGCCCTGCGCTGCGGCGGCGCCGGGGCTCGGGGGCTCACGGGCCGGGCTCGGCCGGAGCGGGGTCACGGCGCGGGCGGGGGGCTCGGCCTGGCTCTGGTGCCGGGGGGGCGGGGGAGCCCGGGTGCTCTGGGGGGCAGCGGCCGCGCTGGGCACCGGGGCGGGCGCTGGAGGCTGGGGGGCAGCGCCGCGTTCGTTGGTGCCTGCCCACCTCCCGCGATGTGCTTGGCGTGGTGAGGGACGAAAACTGTGCGAAATTTACTTTTCAGTTATGTCATTCCCACTACTGCTGGGCAGTCAGTTGTTACTGTTAGGAGGAAATTCGACCAAACACTTGAGTTAACGCTTGAGTTGTGGGAGTTCAAGGTGTTTTCACCTACACATGTGAAAGTGCCTGTCTCATGTTTTCTGACAAACTACTTTGTATATAAATGACCAATAACTTCTTGGTGTGTTTAAAAGAAAGAAATCTGAACTATTCCTTGACAAAAGTAATGTAAAAAGAATAATTCCTTTAAATGTAGTTACTAACCAGCTTACAGTAAAATAATTTGAAAATATGTATATTTTATGTTATGCTTACTTCTTATTACTAATGTTTGTCTGTACAGGTACACGGGTGCCCTGTTGGAGGAGGAGGCCCTGAAAAAAGCAGCAGAAAATGGATTGTCTTCACCAGAATTTTTTGAGCTTTGCATTTGGTTAGGTTCCCAGATAAAGTCACTTTGTAATATGGAAGAAAGCATCACTGCAACAGATGGTATATCAATGTTAATTTAGTATTTGTTCCATGGATTTAGACCCATACTGTTCAGCTAATAGTGAAATTAATGTTGAAGTTTACAAGGAAGCTGAAAGGTAGCCAAACTCAGGCTGATATTTGTACATATGTGGCTCTTAGACTAAGATTAAGGCCTTCTGTTCTGAAGACTGTTTCAAAAGGAAAAAAGAAGGTGATTTGAGGTGGTTTTAGATATACATAAATGTGAAAAGTGCATTCATGTAATCATATTTTGATGGCATAAATTGCAGTGCTGGGTGTTTTCTGGCTGTTGGTCCAGCACAGTGTTCCTGTCAGCAGCGTGTGTGGATACCTGGAGTGCTTGGTAGCACTGCCTGATTGTTTCTGCCGTGGGCTGGAGTTTGGATGAGATTTTATATTACTTATATTTTCACCAAAAAAGTAGTGGAACTAAAAGCAATCACTGAAAATAATGGGCTCATGACTCCTGTTACTTCTTCATTAGAAAATTACACTGACACGCTATATAGTGACATAAACTGTTCACTTCCTTCTGATGGTCATTTGTGTTCTTCACAGACTGCTGTAGCATTACCTCATTCAAAGCATGAGTACAAGGTGCTATTAGAAGGCATACCTTCTTGTATGTAGAACTTTTTAAAGAAAAATGTTACTGGTGTGGTAGGTGGTTAATCTTTGGGCTGTTGAAATCTGCAATAGAAGCGTGCATTAAAAAATTAGATAGCATTTTGATGTTTCTGTAACAAGCCATTAATTGTGCATTTATTTCCATAGGAGTGAAAGATATAGAGAGCTTCCAGCTTGAAATTAGTGGCTTTCTGAGAGAAATGGCTTGTCCATATACATCACTGGTGTCTGGAGACATCAAAGACAGATTAAGAGAGAAAGAAGATTGTCTTAAACTCCTTTGTGAGTAATAATCATTTTTCCCATTTATAATACAGTATTTTATGTGCATGCTTTATCATAACTGAACTATTTGCACTGCTGAGTTCTTTGTGTTTTCAGTTGATGTGTACAGTCCTTACATACTAGCTCAGCCTACATCAGCTCATTTGTGCAAAGTGAAAAATAGAGCAGCATTAGAAAGCTGTTTAGCAGAAACTAAAATTTCTTTTAAAAGTATGGTGCATCCTACTGAGGCCTCCTGATCCCTCTCTTGATCCAATTGTTCCAGCTCACCTAAACTAAGACCTTACCTCCTGTGTTTGTGAGAGGGCAGCTTGAACAGCAGTGCTGCACAATCTGAAGGTGCTGAAAGCAGAATTGAGGGAAGCAATGTCTAAGTTGGACTTGGACAAAGGAGTGGCAGCAGGAACCAGTGTGTTAATGTGAAACTAGCCAAGGAACTTGGGATCTGGTGGCAGAAGGGAGTTGAAGAGTTAAATGCAGTATGTAGACTGACGTAGGAACTCAGGTGAGAGGAAATAGAGGTAAAGAGTAGGAAACATACTGACCTATTCAGGAGAGAACTGAGAAATTCTCTCTTTTATCATAGTTATTTTACCAATTTAAGATATTGTAGCTGTACTGAGAATGTGGATACAGAAATGCTTAAGTGTCTCTAAATCTGCTCTTATGATGCTTTTCTCTCTAGTATTTCTAAGTACAGAACTTCAGGCTTTAAAGATACTGCAGAGCAAGAAAGTTAAAGGCTCTCATTTGGAAAAGCACAATGAAATTATTCAGGAAATGCAAACTATTTGTGAAGCACTGGGTCTGCCAAACTCCTCATCTTCTGGTATTCCTCCCTTGTTAACCAGTGTGGAACACAAGGTATGGGCTTTTACATCTTCTCACTACTGCTAAACTGTAAGCGCTGTCCCTGTGAGCATTCATCATAGAGTTCAGAGCCCAGCAGTCTTACCCATAAAAACCCTATCTGACAAGTGCAAAAGAATTTTAATTCTGAAAGCCAGCTTAGTCTTTTGAGTTAAACTGTTTGAGTTATGAGGTGAAGTATTTCAGCATTTCCCCAAGGTTGCAGTGTACCTGATCAGACATATTTTGCCATGCAAGTTTAAGGTAGAAGTTTTCCTCTTATCCATTCAGATGTGCTGTAGCAAGCAGAAAACTTTGGGTAATAACTGTTTGTGCATTTATATACCTGTAGTCGTTTCTGGAATGTGTTTACATTTAATATCCAAAACTTAAATTAGTCCTTTTTAGTTTATTAATTTCTTAATTGCAAGTGTGGATTTGTTACACAAGAGGATGAAAATGCTTGAATTGCCAGTATTCAGTGAATAAGCCAACTTAAACCTTAGCCAGCAAGATAGTTCTTTTTGTTGTATCCCTCCAGGTTTTAACTCATTTCACTGATGTGATCCTTACTCTGATTTCCTTACTGCACAATGTAAATAGGCTCTTGAGGTGGAATTTATCTTCTCTGTCAGACAGCTAAAAGTTTTGCTCTTCATCTCTCTCTAGTGTTTGAGGAGAGAGTGACTGATCCGCCTTGTAGGGTAGAATGAAAACTCCCTCTGCTTCTGAGTCATTGAATTTAATAATTTGACATGATTGTGCTTGTTTTTTTCATTCTCCCTCATCAACAATTGGGCAGTTGAACATTCAGAGATTTTGGGGAGAGGGCCTGTTACTTGCATGATTTTCTTACATCTGTCTTCAGTGTGACAAGACAAAACCTTAAATAGGTTAATTTATAAAAGACATCACCCGGGTGCAAGTGGAACTGCCTATTCCTACACTATATCTGTGCTTGATCTGTTTAGTTCTAAGGAAATCTTTACGTTCAGTAAATATTTTTGAAGGGATGAAGAAACAATTCTAGCGCTGTTTCGGGAATGAAAATGTCAAAGTTACATCTGATGACTAATGGCCTGATGGTGCTGATCTCCCTCTGTGAGTGATAGCTGTGTTTGCATCCATGTGTGTTCACAGGCTGTGACCTTCCTTGCTTCATTTCTCTGGTGCAGATTTAGTTTCATTGCGTTGTAGGGACAGGACTCCAGTTCTGCAACTGTGGAACAGCAAGACCACAGTACCATTCCTTCATACACACATAGTGATATAGAACGTTTTCTTTGAGTTATTGGACACCTGGTGTCTGTCACCTTTTGCAGAGTCTGGCATTTCCTATCAGACAGCATCACAGGCTTCAGTTGTGCATGGTGTTGCCATCCCGGTTTGTATAAACTATTACACTTTCAGAAGTACTAAAAATGAGCAGAATCTGAAAAGCATTTTATCTTTGGTTTTGGTTGGTTGTTGTTTATTTTTTTTAATAAATGCTGCCTGGACTATTTTCCAATGGTTTTGAGGTCTGTCAGTTCCATGGTGGTCATACCACTTGTACTCACTTCAGAGTGTAGAAAGGTGGCAAAACTAGTTCATTCATCTTCTGTGACTCCACATTAATAGTGTAATTTGTTCTCTGTGTGTTTCATCCCTTATGAACAAAGGATTTTTTCTTACCTTGCAGAGATTTTGTAGAATTTCTGCGATGTGTTTACTTGTCCTTCATCCATTACTTTAATATAGGACAAGTTTGATAGATGATACATAGAGTTAGAGACCTAAACTTAGAGCTATAGCTGCTTTAGAAAGGTGGTGCCACCAATTAAAGTTCATTGGCTTTGTAAATGGTTTTTTAAGAGCACCATTTTGTTACTTTTTTAAAATATGAACACAAATTCACTTGAAAGAGTATATTTATTTTTCCAAATATTTTTTGGCTTTTGATTTTGTTAGATTCTGCATAAAATTGCAGTGTTGATGTTTAGTATTATATCATTCATAATACAGACTTACATACTGATCTAGTATTTTTATTTAGTGTATCTGCAGCATTTCAACATGTCTACTCTTTGTCTCTGTCTAGCATCTTCAGCATTGTCAGTAGCTGTGGCAGTAGTTCTGAGAATAGTTGGGCTGTGCAGCAGCAATCTACCAAAGGCCAGATCACACACTGTATTTTGGTATGGAACATTAGAACATTTATTGTTTTAAGTGATTTTCCAGTTTATTTAAGAGATTGTTATAAAATCAGGATTGCTTTCTTCATTCAAAATGAGTTTTACAGTAGCTCAAACTTTGAGTGTACAATCATAGCAAGTATCTTTTTCATCTCCTGTAATTACCTAGGGTTGTGGTTATCAATATACCTAAGAAAATGAGAGATAAGCGGACAGTATTACAGCCTTCTATCACTAAGCATTTCTTATTATACAGTACTGAAAAACTGATAGTAATTTTTAAGTTGTTTAAGATGCTGTTCCCTTGCAAAGGGTATTTATGAAGAGGGAATCTAGGAGTCAACCTGAAATTTAGTGCCAAAACCTCCATAAATTCTAAATGAACATTGATGAAAGATTCAGAAAAGTTTGTGCTAGTGTTGTGCCTTGTAACTAGTGCTTACATGTGGCTGTTTTCCAATCAAGATAGTGTGAATTTCACACCTAATTACAAAGTGACATTCTAATACTGTTTATTTGAAAAAACTTTTAATGTGATATTATTCAAAAGACTTCTGAACTTTTTTGGCCCACATTATTAAAAGTACTCCACTACTTTTCACATATCAGGGGAATGAAAAGAAACTACAAAGGGCTACTGAACAAACTAAGTCAAAATTAAGCGAAAATAACACTTAAATGGAGTGTGAGAAGAATATTTTTTTATATATTTGGGTAGAAATCCTAGAATTTATTATTATTTAAATTAATGTGTTTCATTTGACTGTTGATCTGTAGTAATTTTACAGATGTAATGGTGCCTGGAGAGTAAGGATTAATGTAACTGCAGGGAACAAGACCGAGAGTTGTCCTGTTCACCAGACATCAGGTCAAACAAAAATGTATTTAAAATTTAAAAATTTATTTATGTTAGATAAATACTGAATTTATCTGCAGGTATATGAAACAGGCTTAAAAATATTTTGTGCTTAAGATTTTGGGTGATCTCTATGCAACTGTACAGTACACAGTACACCTTATGACTAATTAAGGCAACATTCTTTCCTCTAAGTGTTGCTATTTTAAATTAATAATATAACACCTTTCCACAGATCAGGTTTTTTCCAAAATCTTGAAAAACTCTGGACGTGCATACATATATGATGTTTTTCTGTGCAAAAGGTGTTAAATGTAAAAATTACTTCTCTGTTTTGACAGAGGATGGGGATATTTAATAAATATATTGAACATGGTAATGAAATGGGAGCTAATTTTTTTTCAGTTGGACAAAATTACAAAACAAATGAGAAATGTCATGTTCAATATGGATACACTTTATTTGTTAACAGTAGAATATCTGCTTATTTTATGCAGCAGATTTGAATTTGGTTTTTTTGTCTCAAGCAGATCCAATGGCTTATTTGTTTTCATTTTATATTTAGAGACTGTGTGAACTCCCAAAGCAATCCCATAAATTTTTAGTGTTACCAAGGTCATTGATTACATGGTATGTCAAATAGTCAAATATGCTTGTGTACATCTAGTTTTAATTATTTGGTTTTATATTTAGACCTGAATGTGTAAAAACATTAGGATGATTTGGCTATTAGAGTTTGGTTTATGTTTCTTTGAGTATGTTTTCACTGCTCTTTTATCAGGGAACTGCATTTGGTTTTGTTTCCACTTGTATGTGCAGACTTCTTTCTGGGTTGTGGTGGGTTTTTTAAACTCCTGCATATCCTTCCTGGTCCAGGGCAACTATCATGTGTGGGTATACAGGTTATAGCATAGATTCTCACATCCATTGTATTCTTGTCCTCTGGCAGACTGTTGTGTGTCAGAGTTCTGTGCTCATAGCTCTGTCACCAGTCCTGGCTGAGCAGTGTGTTCTGCAGCTGTAAGGCAGCTCAGCTTCTTTCACCATTAGAGCTGTAGCAGTTCCCCATGAGCCCTGCTGATGGGAGTGAGGAGTAAGTAGAGAATCTGAGTATGACTTTACAGTGTGTCAAAAACATAGACCAGTTCATGAGCATAGACCAGTTTATCAGTGAAGAGATTCCTCCTTAACTGTTACTCATCAGTAAAGCTGTGCTGGGTAAAAATTACATAGGTGTTCTCTAACTTGGAAAGAAAACATTGCAGAAATGTGGGGGCAGTTTCTCAGTCAGTAAAGGATTGTTTAATTTAGCTGCTCTTGTTTCTTCTAGTTCTGATTTTCATTGGTTATCTTCCTTAATTGTTCTCTCTAAACTTCCTTTCACTTTTCAGTTCATGGAAATCAGGAGTATGCAGCAGTGATTGACTTGTGATGGCAGAATGTGGCTTTCATGTGTGGAGTCCAGTGTTCTGTTTACCTTAGTTGTCCTTGCAGCTGCAGACCTAAAATAATTCTAATCTCTAGGTAGTATTCAGCATCACTGACTTTCACATCTTCATTCACAATCTAACTGTAAATTACACTGAGGATTTTTCATTTTGCTGTATTGGTTTTTGTTTCAGCAGCTGGTCTCATTTTGATAGACTCTTTCTTTCAGGCTTTGAGGTAATATTTCTGACCACAGTGGTATATGAATAGACACCTCTTGCCCCATAGAATTTTTAATTCATCTACTGTTCATTCCTTCTATATTCATTACTGATCTGTTCATCTCTTTTTGTCATACTGATCTTGCTCTATTGTTGATTATTAGCTTTCGATTTTGATCTTCAAACATTTGTTTAAATTCAAACATAGTTTGTGCTTGGGTGCATTTGCGTTTTGGAGTGGAATATGGCACCATGTTCATGCTTCAGTAAAAAAAAACTGGCTATATGCAGAAGACAGACAACCTTGGAGCGTTTTTTGTAAAGAAAAAGGTTACAGAGAAGCAAGACTTATCAGAGAGAAAGGAGTGTTGGGATCAGTATGGTACATGGAATTGAACTTCACCCCTTATTGTAACCTCTTTTGATATGAATTGAATACAATAACAGGGGTATTACACTAATTAGATTGCCACTTTTCAGGTACTGCTCGGCTGTCTTTTCTGTTGGAGTCAAAATAGTGTTCTCCCTTAATTTGTTCACTGCACCTCAGACTTTTTCTGGGATATTGTGTTTGTAGCCTGCCAGAGTGCTGCCCAGCAGCGATGTAAAAAGAATGAACAAAAACCTTGGTTTTCACAGAAAATTTGAGATGAGATATTTTTCTTCATATACACCAAAAAAAATGAGATAAGTATAAAAATCCTGCCATATGAGAGTTGATTTTTTTAAGTATTTGTTTTAAAAATTAACTAGGTGCTCCAGAATTTGGTTTTTGACTTCTGGAAATTTTTTTTTGTAGCAGTAATTTGTGATATTTCTGTAACATGTGAAGCTCAAAACTGAGCTTTGAACCATGCCTTTGTGACAAATGCAATGTAAATGCTTGTGTGCCTGCATGAAGTCTTATAATCCTTGCAAATGTATCTAATCGCTATCCCCAGTTACAGGTTTTACTGTAGATCATGCACTACCTTAATCCTTCCTTTGACATATAAAAGAAAATTAATTCTAGTTTTATTAATTTTGCTTGGTTCCTCATAGTTATTTACTAAAGCAAATGAAGATGTAGTTCTCTCCATCAGACTTTACAAAACTTGCAGGAACAATAATATGCATGCAGTCAACTCCAGCTGAAAAATCAGTTGGATTATGTTCAGGCTATGTACAAGTGTTGTGGGCATTCATGGTAATGGTTTTAGAAGAGCTTTGCCAAAGGAAGTTCACTCAAGAAGAGGTGGTAGAGATTTCTTGTAATGAGAGAGGAAAATGCAGTGGTGTTTGGAAGGTAGAGAGAGCACATTTCATCTCTAATTATTAAGGGCAAGAACTAGTGGAAAAAAGTATGAGCAAATATGATTTGGGGTGAATGCAAAAGTTTTAAACATAATGTTAGCTGGATCCAGGTGTAGGATTGCAATAAAATTAATGAGAGAGAATGACTGCCTGTCATATCTTCTGCCTTTCTTCATAACACCCATCACCAAATTTTTTGTAGCCCAGTGTAACATTTGGCAACAGAGCTCTGAACTTCTAATTGTTGTCATTCAACACTTAGTAGTATCTAAAATGAGTAATTTAGCTAGTCCTACTTCCTGTATGCACTTGATAAATTTGCCATATAACTGTTGTTCTGTTAATGGGAGGACAAGTGATGTGCCATAAAATATTTTTGTATAGAGGCTGGTCATCTTACAAAAGTACTCAGGAAATCTTTCTATAGTGGATCATAAGCTAGAAGATATGTGTTTGTTTTCATGAGTCTGCTAAAACAAACATGCTGTGTTTGATCTTCTAAGTAGCAAAATGAGATTGTAACAAATTTTGCTGAAATAAATCTAAATATCATTTGTGTTCTGAGATGTATGTGTTTTTTTCAGGTGAAGGACATTCTTTCCAAAGTTAAAAATAACCATGTGGGGAAATCACTGCTAACAAAACCTCTGAACTCTGACCAAGTGGTAAAGAAAAGTTTCTCCATTTCTTTTCAGTATTTAACAGGATGGTCAAAATAAATGCATATGGCTTCATTTAACTTTGCCTTTTTGCAGTCACTGTTCTATTGCTGAATATTAATACTAAAATTCAATTGCTAAATACTAATGGTGATAATCAGGTATACTTCCAGAACTGACATTATAAAACAGGCCTTGTGTTGATTCATCCATTGCTCATTTTCAAATAATTTTGTGCACGCATACTACTGTAGCGTTACAAAGATGCTGTGCAGTTTGCAGTGGTCACCTCGGGATAGACGTCTTAATTGATGGATGGGGTTAAGTTTGAATTGACCTCTATAACTTTATATATTTGTCTGTTTGAATTTCTTACTGTAACCCTGCAGGAAAGATTGGAGAAGATCAATGATGCTCTTTGCAGTGAGTACGAGTGTCGGCGGCGGATGTTGATGAAGAGGCTCGATGTGACTGTGCAGTCTTTTGGCTGGTCTGATAGAGCAAAGGTAAACTTGATGTATTTTTTGCTTCCTGTAGGTGGGAGTCTGCTACTGTTCACCAAGTCTTCCTACAGAATATGCATGCCATGTAAATACACAAATACATTTCCATCACTGTTATCTTTTTTCCAGCCTGTTCTCATCTCAAGTTGTAATATCCAAATCCTAGGTATTGAGGAAGGGGATGGATTTAACCAGGCATGGCACAGTCCATCCTTTGTGACTGTTTATAGCTTCACAATTAGGAATTCTAGCATCCTTTGTTGGGGTTTCTCACTTTAATTAAAGTTCCCATCTCCTTGCTTTCTGTATCTAACACCCTCCAATGAAGTAAACTAGGAGGGAACCTCTGCACCTTGTGCAGATTCAAAAGTAAGACAAATACTGAACCTTAAAATAAATTGGGTATAAAAAGGTACTGTTCATAAAGTCTGAGAGGTTACATTGACTGCCCCCTATCTTGGATTCTGCTAGATGAACAGCTGTTCAGTTGAACAGGTTATTTGAATAGTAGCTTGCGTGAGAAAATCACACAATTGCTTGTAATCTTTCCAGTCACTAAAAATTCCAAAGCACTCCTCTGTATTTTTTCTGCTGGTATTGTTTTAATTGTGATAATTTCATTTGTACTGTTTCTTAGAACTCTGTGTATTAAAAAATAGTCATGGTATTTCTGAGCTGGAAATGTATCTTGTTTGTATCCCAAAGAGTAGGGAGATAAGACACACAAAGTTTGTGATTTGATGAAGACACGTGGGAAGCTGGAGGCAGATGATTTTGTTCATTAGTGACGAGATCAGCTTTCCTTCCAAAGGTTTCTTTGGAAAGCTTAAGCTGAATAAATCTTAAAACTTGGAAAGCTTATTGAAAGGATGGATTGTTACAAGTCTTTGTGACGTCACAATTTGTCACTGACACGTGCAGAATCAGCTACGTGAAATTCACTAAATATCACTGGAACTCATGAGTCAAGGTGCTACTGTGCTGCGTTGGAGTAGCTCACTGTTTAATTTCTGAAGGGGTTGTGAATGTTTTATACTGTAAGAAAGGAAAAGGGAGGCATTTAGCTCAGAGAAGCCAGGAGATGTCCCTACTTGTATAACTTCCTCACAGCTGTACCAATACAATTATGTATCTTCAAATTTAAAGTATCCTTCTAAAGTGTAGTTGATGTGACTGATGACTAATTTAAGCAGACTAACACTTTGTCACTTGCTATTGTTCCATAAAAACAATGAATGCCCTTTTGAAACAGAACAATAGTTTAAAGAAATTTTTGATGATAAAGTAGTCAGATGATTCGTTTTCCTGTCTTGTAAAGACTGGTGATGTGAAATATGTGCAGTTACAGAAATAACCAGGTTACCTACTAATTCAAAATAACATACTGTTTTAAATCTTTTTTTTTTCCTATTTCTCTTGAAGGATGTTCATAACTTCTTTGAGAAGGTTTTGGGGATTGAAAATGTTTTGGCATTGATGTAATTTAGAGATTTTTATTTTTCAAGCCAAGGGACAAATTGTTGTCTTTTTAAAAATTGGTAGCTTGCTTTTTTTCTCCACCATTAAATAGATATTGAAAAGTTTCTTTGCTTTTGATGGTATGGCATTTTGGGGATTTTTTTTTTTTTGTTTCTTTGTAACTTGTTCTGCCTCCAAGAGGGCTAAGTTTGCAGACTGAAATGGGTTCACAAATGATGGAGTAATTACCAAGCAGAACAGTCTTGTAAAGGTTCAGCATGGTCTGGTCTAGCCAATAACATATGTTTTACTTCACTCTGAAGGTCATTCTAGATTTTCCCAGAAAGTATATTTATTTTTCTTTTCTGCTAAATAAATGAAGCATCAAAGCATGCCAGTGGATAGAGGAGTTTCTTTTGTACTGGTGCTAAGTTTCAGCATCAATTAAACATAACCAGCAGCACGTTCTGTGTAACAATTCCACCAGCAGGAATAGAACTGCTGATGGCTGGCACTGTGTTTTGTAATACAGTTTGTATTTTCAGAAGCTACACCTCACCTTGTGTTCAAATTGAAACTTACTGAGACCAGCACATGGTTTATAGTTATCTGTTGGTGTGTTTGATACCTGGCAGGTAAGCAGTGTTTGGTGTTCTCCTTCAGGTGAAAACAGATGAGATCGCTCGGATCTATCAGCCCAAGCGCCACGCGCTGTCTCCCAAGTCCACCATTTCCCTGGCTCACCTTCTCGCTGCTCGCGAGGATTTGTCCAAGATCATAAGAACCAGCAGTGGCTCAACACGGGAGAAGACTGCCTGTGCTATCAACAAGGTACACTGTTCTGGCACTGAGAAATGGACATGGGCATTTGCAGACCTCTCAGAAGGGATTCTGGAGTTAAACACTGGTTTTACTTGGTACCTTAATTTCATTTTTTCCATTTAAGAAAGGAAGGTTTGCAGTATTCTGGTGAACATTGCAGAAAGTCCTTTTTTGATCTTCTTAGACAGTCAGTCATGCAACAGGATGAAATAGAGTAGTGTAGATGAGGGAGAAAAGTATGGGGGGTGTATGTGTATGTGTAAATAACCTCGAGTTCAGTGGAACTGCACACCTCAAGGATAGATATAAGTACTTGTGATATCAGTTCCTGAGCTACCTTGTCAGGATATTATTGTTTGGTTTGTAAACCTACATCTCTCATTCATCAGTGTGTTATAAATCACAAAAGTTTCTGTAGAAATGTCATTTTGATGAAAATTACCTGGTTTGCTGCAGTATTGAATCAACCTAGTACTGCTTTCTTGTGGGTGATAAAAGCTGAAGCTTGCAAGTCGTGACATGAGTTTCACCATTCAAGTGGTGACTGAACCTGATTATATTGATCCTGTATTTACAGATTTTTATAATGTTTTTTACCTCATTTAGATACTTTATTATGTTTTGATCCTTAACACTCGGAAATTTCTTAATTATTGTGGGATCTCAGAGAAAGGTAGGTTGTTTTTCTTTTCTTGAGAGGACTTCAGTTGGAGTGCCTTGGACTGATCAGGGAATGTTAACATTGATCTCAGAGAGTTTAGGAAATACAAAAGCAACAACAAAAAGACTTACTTGGATACATCTTTGTTCTTCAGAGATGTTTGTTTTGTTTAACTTTGTCCAGTGCAGTTTTTCTTTTTATACACTGAGTAATACCTGCCATAGTCAAGATGCCTTTTTTTTTTTCCTTTTCTTGGAAGTGCTACTGCAGCCTGTTGCATACTTTGTTCGTTCTGGCTCTTTACTGAGTGTCAGTAGTTTTGAATGTTAGCCAAACTGGTGTGCCTTTGAGAACTGCACATCAGGTTGCCAGTTGGTTTTTTTTTGTTGGCTGATTAGGTTTGAACTTGAACTTTAAAATTCAAGTAGAAGAGCCACATCATAAGGAGTCTTTTCTGCATGAATATACATGTGCATTTGTATATATTATATATGAAGTGTGTATATTGCTTATTGCAATACTAATGCTTGAGGTCTGCAGTGTTCTTCATTAAAAATTCACAAAAGTAATATGAACCAGCTAGCTGCAGTTATTTCTTTTTTCTTTTATTTCTTCAGTTTTAGAGGTGAAAAATGAGAACATTTTCAGAGTTCTGTTGTGGTGTTACAGGGACAGGAGACAGTGATTCTGCTGTCAGGCACTGCACTGAGGGGCCAAATTTCCTGAAAACAGCAGGCACCGTTTCTCTGTTCACAGGAGAAAATCCTGTGTCTCTTCAGGTTATTACTGCTATTTTGTAACTCTGAAAATGACCTGTTTTTCCATACAGGTTCTGATGGGGAGAGTCCCTGACCGTGGAGGCAGACCAACAGAGATTGAACCACCTCCTCCTGAAATGCCTCCGTGGCAAAAAAGACAAGAAGGTGGTGGAAGAGGGGGCTGGGGGGGTGGTGGTGGAGGAAGGGGTAACTGGGGGGGTGGAGGGGGTAGAGGAGGAGGAGGTGGAGGTTTCAGAGGCGGTGGAAGAGGTGGGGGTGGCTTCCAGGGTGGGGGTGGCTTCCAAGGAGGAGGTGGCTTCCAGGGTGGAGGTGGCTTCCAGGGTGGAGGTGGCTTCCAAGGTGGCAGGGGAGGTTATGGTGGCAGGGGAGGCTATGGTGATCCCTATGGTGGAAGGGGAGGAGGAGGATACCGAAGATACTGAAGTACTGTAAATCTTAGCAGAGTAACTGGCAGAACATAGTGGTGGTGTTTACTGGTACTAGGAATTTAGATCTGTTGACTCGGGTTTAGGTTAGAATTAAATATGACCATATTAGTAATTTCATTAGACTAACTGATGTTCTCACTGAGTTCTTTTAGTTAACTGATGTTTTATATTAAAATCTGATGACTGAAGTCCTCGTTTTTCATACTGCTTATATGGTGTTTTTTATGTCATTTTATTTAAAATAAGTCTCAGAAAACTGAATAAAACCCTTTCTAAACAAACAAAAATATATCAATGGTCAGACCTCTGTAATTATTGCATGTTGCATGTCTACTCTCCTGCTCCAAAATCTTGTGTAGAAAAAACAAAGTAGGCCTAAGAATTGGATGAAACCACTTTTAAAAGACTCAAGAATACTGCTTTCAGGCTTGTTCTCTTCATGTCATTGTTCTTCATTCATAGTTTTCATGAAAATGAATTCATGAATTCATTCATAAATGAATTTTAATTTCAAATGTTAAAATCCTTAAGGCTTTGGTGAAGTTTATTCAATTAGATTTGATTATTGTTGCAGAACTTCACATTATAGTAACATTGTGAATTAATACTCTACATAAATTAATTGAATCAGGTTGTTTTTTGTGTTCATAATGTATCAGACACTCTTTAATAGTCAGAGCATGTACTGTAAACTCATCATAGTGAGGTTTGATAGTGTCTTATTTTCATTTTACCTGTTTTCCATTGTGGGTGTTTCATAAAAAAAAAATTTAAATCAGATTGGGCAGAAAACCTGTAGGCATCATGTCTGGTATGAATTTGTGTGTATATCCTTGTGTATCAGCTTTGAGACACAAAGTTGGAATAAGCTGAGCTTTTTAAGAAAGAACATATTTCTAGTTTTTTTAAATTACTCTGTTCTCCCTTGCCTGCTCTGTGTTTGGGAATCACCAGCTGTCTGGTTAGTTAACAAGACACCTCATGCAGCAGTTGCCTTTTCTCAGTGATTTCTCTCTCTGCCAACCTAAAAGAAGCCCTATCTTGACATGGTATGGGTGCCTTCTCTCTCACATTGTTAGTCTAGAAGGAGTTAGCTGACATACCATCAGGGCTGTAAATATATGTAGACAGGAATTAGATTTAGTGCTGTCACTTAAAGAAGTCAGGTTCTGCTGCCCAGTATCTTTTAGCTCTCCCATGTTGTGAGGGCGCTCCTGAGAACAGAGGTAAGAAGGGGATGCTGCCTGAGAGTGTTCTCATGTCAGTGTTTGTCAGGATCAGGTCACTACAGAGAGATTCAGGAAGGCATCTGATGAACCTGGTGTGTCTGATGATTAAATAGCACAGCAGGCTTGAAGCACTTGTAATTGTAGGCATAACTGCAGGTTGAACTTCAGGGTTTGATTTTGGATTTATGTTCCTCAGTTATATGTTCTTTCTGCACAATTTTCCTATTGTTGTCCATTGGTATGCTTTAAACATGTTTTTTTACCTTCATAAACATACATATGTCTTGTTTCACTGGCAACTTCATGCATGAATGTAAAGTTCTGTTTCAAATCAAATTACTATCTTTCAAAAGCTTTTCTTCTGTTATTTCCTTTCTCATCAGTGTGGTTGAGAATGCTGCTTCTAATGTGATATATATGGCTTTACCCAGGCTTTAGGGTTGCAGCAGGTGCCTGACAAAAAGCAGCTGAAGTTTTGCTTGCTAGAACATGTTAGCTGGGATGTGAACTTCTGCAGCAATTGCTGAATGTCACCCAACTGCTAGCACTGTAGTTCCTTTGCCAAATTTTTTCTATGCTTCTTACTGGCCTAAGCTCTTGGCAGCCTCTGCAGTGGTTATGGAGAGACCCCTCATGGGAGCACAGTGCTGGTTCTCTTGGTTCTGAGCTTGCTTTTTGCCTAATGCTCTGGAATAGCTCCCAAACCAATGACATACCAAATGAGACAGCTTGGAGCAAAGTGTTGGTAAGCAAAGGAATAGAGAGCAGCTTTTTAACAACCAAAGCCTTAAGATTAAATTCTGTTTGCTCATCCCAATGTTTCTTTTTGCTACAAGTAATCAGCAGTCAAGCATGTGGCTTCATCAAGGAACTGCACTTGGAAAAACAAATGACTTATCTATGCTTAAAGGTTTCATTAGTCTTAGGATTGCAGCAGTTTAGTTGGATTGTTGTAACTGCAGATGTGGATGTACCTTGGTGTTTTTACACTCATCAGTCCATCCTGTTTGTTAGTAGGCAGAACAGTTCTGAATGAAGTAAATCATCAGATGAAGCAGGTACATGTCCACTTCAATTCTAACAGTTGAATTATTTCAGTATCATATTTCAGTTATGTGTATGTAGACCATGTAAAATATGGAAATACAAAGAGGCTGGAGATTTTTTTTTTAATCTGGCCAATTCAGTCTTTCTTAAATAACTTCAAAATGTGAAGCCAGTAGTTAAAAAATAAAGTAAGCACCACCATATTTCATGGAGGTATCCTTTGCTGTCCTTTTGTCAGAATGTATGCTTTTAATTTCTCAAACAATGCAATAACACCATGAAAGTAATTGATTTCAACCTCAAGTTTTGTTTTGAAAAAAAAAGTATTTTCAAAAATGCTGTTGTAAGTAAAAGATTTTCATATATGTGTTTGTGAACATTTTTGTTTTTATTCGCACTTAATGAATACCTAAGTTAATATTGTTTTGTTTGTTGAAGATCTGAAAAAAAAGGTTGGGGATTTTTTTCAGGAATTGAGAGACGCTTTTGTCAACAGCTGTAAACACTGAGGAATAAAGTACTGTATTTGAAATTATTTCCATCATCTGTGTGTATTATGATTTGGATCCACTATCATATGTTCCTCCTTTGTTTGTAAGAAAGAATTCCTGCTGGTGATTTACAATAGTGGTGAAACTTAACTTTTTATGGTAATGGAAATAACATGTATTTTGACTAAAATGGAGAAGACAATAGATACCTTGCCTGTTACAATTTTTCTATAAAGTTATATCACAAGTCTGGGATTTTGTCTGGGATTACTAAGGAATCTCAGTTAGATTTTATCTTACTGAAAAAAATTTAAAAGCATAGTGATCTATATGATCACTTCTTTTTTCTTTACATAAACTAAAGAAATATCCTCCAATTACTTCTCAAGTTTTATTTTATTACTTTCTGTAATTATGAAAAAACCCACGACCTGTTTTGCATAAGACCGTAGAGCAGATTTGCCATACAAACAGGAGTTTCACCTCTTGTTCTTCCCTCTCATGATTGAAGATAACTGGGTGGGTGCCCATTTCCCCATATAAAAACCAATTTAGGATGTGGTAGTTTGAAGTTTACTGTAAGGTAAATAGCAAGTCTTTAGGGTGCTACAGTACTGCCTGTGCAACAGCAGGCAGCATTAGCAGACACAACAGAAGCCTTGCTTAAACTTGGCTACTGTGCTGTGAAATCTTCAAAATTAACATTCTTAACAAAAGTGAGAGGATATGATAGTAAAGATGAGTGCTTTGTAATACTTGGAACAGTGAGTAACAACACAGTGTTTTTACTGTGTCAGCCAGTAAAATACCCAACAAATAATATGCAAACACCTAGCTTCCCAAGTTTCCCAGGCACCATTCCAAGGCTCAGAGAAGGTGAAGCTGGTCAAAGACACGGGTACTAGGTTAATGCTGCAGAAGTGTCTCAGATAACAGTCAAGGAAGATGAGTATAGGTTGTATAGATTTCTTGGAGATACAAAATCAGAGGTGGCATGAAATGCAATTTTAATATTTTTCTGTTATAAATATTAAACCAAAATCTTACAATTTATATAAAATCTTTACAATCTGTACACTTCTTCAATCTTTTCGGACAGCACTGGACTTTTTCAAGTTGCCATAGAGATCACTTACAACAAAATAACACATGCTGCTAGAACAAAAACGTATTTCCAAAACATATATGAGCTAATCTAAATGCAATTGTATTTAACCTCATTATGAACAGTAGCCCTGCCTTGATAATTATGATACTACTCAATCTGTGTACTTTTATCTTTAAGCAATCAGAATTCACGCTTAAATGAACGGGGAATGGTGCTTGTTCTTTCTGCCTTCTTGTAAGCAGAGCTAGACCTAGAGAAGGAAGAGGTGAGTGTTTCTTTTTGACTTAGCCACGAGATAAATTTCAGTATCACTGTTTGATAACTTCTGAACAGCACTTCTAATTGTGTCTCTTTTTCCTAACATAAAGCAGCTTGAAGATTAACACAAAGGCACGTGATTTTTTTCTGGGTAGCACTGTCAGTTTTAAGAGTTTCCCTGTAGTCAGGTTCCACTGTTAAGGTGGGGTGGAAGGAGATAACTGTTAGGGGCTTTGGGCAAACAGAGAACCTGAAGGTACTTAGAGAGCTCTGAAGTTATCCAGGTATCAACTGACTTCTTTGAAGCAGGAAGTTTTCAGCACGCATGAAGCACTGCTCGCTTGTTCTGTAAGACATTCCTGCAAACAAAGCCCTTTTAAATCTTTCAAATTCAACAAGCAAACTTCACAGAGAAACATTAAGTTAGCACTTAGAACTGTACAAATCTGTGGTCATAACTCAGTTTGGAGTATTAAGTATCTAGTTACACAGTAGCCTTTGGACCAGCTGCTGATATTAGGGAATTTTCCTTTTAACTATGAGGTTTTGTTCATGATCTCCAAATTCCATCACAGACAAAGTGTATACACAAATTCTGTTCAAATCCAGAGTTTAGACCACCAGTGAGCACTTACATTGGCTGTACAATAAAATTTATGAGTCTTAGCTGCTCCTCTGGGGTATTTTTTAAATAAGTGAAAATATATTCAACCTTTATCTTGTTTAATAGTTGTAGAAACAGACTTTTATTTGTTAAATGCCTATTAGAAATACACCTTGCTGTAGTTCCCTGAATAGAGGACAAAATCAAGAAGCTCACAGAAAATGGGTAAACCAAGTCTGCAGCCATGACCTGACAGCCATTCTGATTGCTTCACTGACCAAAGTGCAATTCCATGTTACTTGTTAATAATTCAGGCTTAGTGTATGAGTTGAAAAAAGCTGCACCATCTTCAGAGCTGTTTTTTTCCTATGCATTTCAGTTATTTACAGTAATGTTACAGAAAATCTACTACTACTAGTCTTTCCCTCCATTTGTTTTTACTTACACATGGAGTTGCAAGCACAATCCAATTTCCAAGCAATTTTGAATCACTAAACTGGCAAATACTTTCAGATTAACTTTATAAATAAAGCATTCATATACTTGGTATTGACTGTAAATTGTGGATGGAATGTATATTTATGCCACTTGGAACACAAAGCACAGATGATATTGTCATTGACTAAACTTCAATCTATAATGGAACTGGAAACTCAGAAGTGTTGAGCATTAAGTGGTCTTTGTTTATGATGTTTGTATGTGTGATGACAAATATATAACTCTAAGCATACAGATCCTCTTGGAATGCAAATGGAATTTTCAAATCAGCTATTTTGACAAGTAGATTTAGCAGTAACTTGAAAGACTTTTATTTTCTCTTAAAAATATATACACTTTGTGTCTTTAAGTTACCTCCCTCGCACCGTTTACTATACAAAATTTACAGACATAGGAGCACACTCATCTTGACTCTTAATGTAAAGTGCATGTGAAATCCAGGAGAGAGAAAATAGAGAAATGTTGTTAGGAGCTCTGAAATACAGTAGCTATTGCACAGGGATTGCTCAGTTTCAGTTTCCCTCATAATATGGCTCTAAAGATTCTGCTCAACAATGGCATCTACTTTGATGTGAGAGAAATATAATCAACCTTGTCCCATATCTACTGTATGTGGACAACAAGTTACTCCTTATGCCAAATAAGGGAAATTAAATC